TAACGAGGGTTTCTACAATTTATATAGTCAAATGATATACACACATTTCATGCAAATAACATGTAGCAAACCAGATTAAACATAGTTTGAAAACAATGCTAAGATTTATATTATTTTACAAAGTTCTAAATCTTTATCATGATTACATTTCCCATAAAGTTCTAAATGAATATTAAGTTGGGTCATTTTATTAGGTCCTAAGATGATATTAAATCTGCTTTTCACTTAAAACAAATTATTAGTATCTAAAAGATATTCTTTTAATTTATTTTGCTACTGAATCCAGAAACTTTTTCAACCACTCCACTAAAGCCCAAGACCAAAAATTTTAATTTGAAAAATATAATTCTAAGATACTTTCAAACTTCTCTGAGATAATTTATTAAATACCATTTAAAATCAAAAACATTCAAGGTTATCTTGTGAAAACAATAATTAAAAAATATATACCATGTTGGTAGTAATGTGAACCATATTTGTTAAAATTAATTACATTAAACTATCACAGTGATTCTTGCAAACAACTTACAATATGTTTAGGAATAGCAAACTGAGCTTCTTGGTGAATATTTCCTATAGTTGAAGTGTTAAAGATGTCAGTCTTCTTGGATGGTTGAGCCTGTGTACAATCATTAATAATATCTCTACAGTGGTTGGATTTGATTGGTTTTGTTACACATTGATTACACATCTTGTTAAGTAACTTGTCAAGAAGTTTAGTGCTGGAAGACTGGGAATGTAGATTGGTCATTCCAGGAAGTACAACTGTTTTATTATCAAAAGAGTACTGAGCTAATGAGAGCTCTTTTGGTATTAACGTAGAAGAAAGTAAACCTAAATTTTGCAAAGATTGTGGTGTGTTATTACATGTTAAACTCTCCACAGAAGGTGTCAAAGTTGTACCCTGTTGACTATGCCTAGATAACATGCTGAATGGTGGCATATATTCAGAAGAAACAAGCTGCTGACCATGAGGAAACGATACCACAGAAGAAGAAAACCCAGAAACAGGATCTTGAAGAAGAGGTTTCTGCTCAGTGATTTGATTAATGTCATGTATTAATTCTAAGGCTGCATTATGTGGATCAGAAGAGGAATACATTGTAGAAGATACAGCTGGTATTTGGTAATTCTCTGATGGAAACAATTCCAGAATATTGTGAGATGCATCATTTTCTAAAAACTTGTCAGAGAGTTCAGAATGTTATGAGGTACGCAGCTGAAATTCACCAAAAGTGAATAGACTCTGGTCATTAGAGGGCAAACTCGTAGGAAACTTCTGTGTCTGTAAAGATATGATTAAAAGATTTTAGAATTAAAAAAATTCAAAACTTATTTTGATTCTCCTCATTATCAATTTTATCAAGTAATCTGTCATATTAGAAATTAATACACACAAAGTACCTCATAGTTAAGCTAGACTTAGGCAATATTTAAATAACCTTCTCTCTGTCTGCCTTGTATTTCTTAACAAACTTTGGAATAGACAAAAGGCAATCACTACTGCAAAAAGGCCCAGCATGGCCAGGTGGTTAGGGTGCTTGACTTGCAATCCGAGGGTCGTGGGTTTGAATCCCTGTCCCACCAAACATGCTTGCCTTTTCAGCCATGGAGGTGTTATAAAGTGACGGTCAATCACAATATTCATTGATAAAAGAGTAGCCCAAGAGTTGGCAGTGGGTGGTGATGACTAGCGCAGATAGCCCTCGTGTAGCTTTGCACAAACTTCAAACCAAACCACATTACTGCAAAAATGTAATTTTTGTTTCTTGTCATATTTGATACAGTAAAACTAAAAAACATTTTTCAGTATTTCTCAAAGCAAAGTGAACCTGAAAAAGTGATACTTGAGGGATACATAAATGGCTTCCAATTAATTAATACTCAACAGTTTGCCACTAACTCACTTGGAAATACTTGCATATCATATAAAAATATACCATTCTAAAATTACTATGATTGTTAAATCTTATCAAGTTCTTATTCATATATTACTTGAGCCTAAGTCACAATGTCTTTAGCTTACATGGTAGTAATGTCTGCTGTAATATTTAGAGAAGTATAGAAAGATTTTATGCACTTGTTATTCACAGAGTAATTTTTCATAGGTCAAGGATCCTTATTATTACATGTAACAAATATTATTCATATGTCATTCTTTAAATTGAATCTCCTATTTTATTATAATACTTCAAACGTGTTTTAAAAAATAATTCAACTTTATACTTAAAAACTCTTTGTAGTGTGGAATACTTATTCACCTTCAAATGAATGTTGTACCTTAAAGCTCTCTTGATGTGAACTGCTTATACTGAATGCTACACCACTACCAGATGATGACAAAATCTTGTCGAAACATGGTACATTTGCTGTTATGTTAAACTTATTGTTACGACAGCGGAAGTCATGCAACGCTGGGAGCATGCACGTGGAGTTTCTAGAAGAATCATGACTTATTGAGGACCCCCGCAAATGTTCGAGTGTTTGCCAGGCGCCCTCTATTTTAGTATATAAGCCTGGCATATAAAGCCAGTGAGATATAGATATGCAGATATATTGAAGATAGAGATAATTGAGTCAAGCAAACAGTAGGCACCATAAGTAAAGTGTGTGAATCACTGTGATTTATAGCA